TTATAATGAAAGCGGGCGGGAGGCATCAAATGTGATTTATAAAATATTTAATGATAGTGTTTGATTAGGTTCCACTCCGGTTCCTGCTTGATAAGTTCAACAGCTATGGTTTAACCGCAAGAGCACACCAACGGATCATATCTCGATGGAAGACAAAGTAAATCAGTTTCTGTTCCAGCTGGGCTGAAGTGTTTAGTGGCATCCCGCAAGGGAAAATGTTAGGAATTTCAGTATACTGCAGTACTAAGCTTGCTCTGTGAATCATAGGGACTATGTTGATGTTTTACAAGCACGGGACTTCACATTGAATCTAAAACAAAAAAGCAAATTCAGAGAACACTGGATTTCGTTCATTTGGGATATCAGAATATCATCGTTTACCATAAATGCGATACTTCTATTCTTGTGTTTCTTTTCCCGAGGATTGTTTGTATATTGTTGGTCCACTAGCACGGAATTTAACATAAAAAGGGAGTGAAAAAACACAGATTTTCGTTCATTTGGAATTTCAATATAATATGGTGGTAACATTTCATTATCTTTGATAGCAGAACCCGTGGAATGTTACAAACAACCACACCGGCCCCCCGCCCTCCACTAATTGATTTGGTGTCTAACTTTATCTATAGGTATATTGCCTGTTATATTAACGCCACTGGAAATCACACAAAAAACTACAAATACACAGAATTGTGGTGGTCTGTATGCATAATATGATGGGGTGTATTAATCATTGGATTTTAATTTGTTGATGGTACTCAGAAGTCAAATATTACAGTATGTATATTTTACAGTACAATTTTATTTTCTTCAAGTTGTTGTGTGTGCTTATCCCGGTTTACTGATACCTTTCCATTTACAATTTGCCATCTGTTGCTGCCAGATAATAATTATACTATTAATCCTATTATAGATTTACATTATCAATAAAATTAATAACCTGATTATTTCATCACTGCTTTTCGGGTTCCATACTTATATTTTTACAGAAATATAGTACTGTATTTTGAATATCTCTGTGGGATCTGCCCTTATATTGTGTCTGCCCTCAGTCTCCTTGGATAATCGAGATGATATAGTTCAAGAATCAACTTAGTCGCTCAGTATTGCACTTTTCTAGGGATACCAAGTAATCCAAATTGAGACGTACGAGTGACTTATGAAGTTGAAGGTGTACTTTCCTATCTTTGTGTTCGAACGTATCCCTAATAATTCTTAAATTTGGTTGACTTTTTTCACTGCTGCTCTCACTTGTTGCGCTGCCTTCAGTGACTGATCTATCACAACGCCTAGATCTTTTTCCTTATCGGCAGTATTCAGGAGAATGTTATTAACAGAATAGTTGTGATTAAAGTTGTAGTCTTCGTGCAGTCTTACATTTTGTAATGTTATAAATCTTTTGCCAGTCTCGAGACCACCAGAACAGCTCATGCAGATCTTTTAACATAGTTCGAACGACGTCACGACTTGTTTACCTTCCCAATTATCTTCGTGTCGTCCGTAAACATGCCGATGTGGTTCGATATATTTTCATCGATATCGTTAACGTAGATCACAAACAGGGTCAGTCCAAGCTCCAAGGATAGATCCATTACGATGTACTCCGTTTATGACGACTCTTGCCTGTGGTGACATGTGCCTGGATCGAAGAGGCTGGCCATGCATGAGGGACTTTGTGAAACGCTTTAGAAAAATTCATGTACGTACATGTACAGGGTACAACACATCCAATGGTAGGCCTTGATCCAAGTAGTCTGTTACTATTTCAAGGAAAGTGAGTGAGGTCAGGTGTTGAATGATGGCGTCCATTAGAATTTTCTCAAAGAGTTTGCATATATGTGATGTTAGTCTGATCGGCCTGCATTTTTTCAACACTTACCCTTTGGCTGCGGGAGGTTACCCTAAGCTGAATAAAATCGTCTGGCGCTAGCCAGAGTAAAATGGCAAGTGCGCGAAACGCAGCGAAAGGGTTAAACACTTTGGTGATGTTGGCTGATTACTAGTCCCTAGGCGCTTTTCCATGATCCAGAATGTAAATCTCGTTACCACCTCCTTTATCACCTTGGTCTATGCTCAGCCTACTCCAGGGGTTTTAAATTCTTTTAAGGTAGCTATTTTCTTAGTTAATATTTTTGGAAAATTTCATATCGAAGTTCCGTTTAGCCTATCGAATTTCCTGATTGGGTACATTTATGGTTCTTCTGTTTACTATATAAACCGCATGATTTTTTGTGCTCTGGTGTTTTCCCAAAGTTGGTATTTTCTTTTGCTGGTTTTCCTGGATTTGTGATTCATTCACCTGGTCTGTTTCTCTCTCTTCCTTGTTGTCCGGGGTATACATTCCTCTATTGTTGTCTCTAGGATTTCCATAAAATCTTGTAATGAACCGTCAATGTCTGATTCCTCTTTAACGATATCCCCCAAGTCTTTTCCCCTGTAGTTTGTCTCGCATGAGCTGGTAATCTCCATGGTTGAAGTCATAGTACACGTGGGGTGTGGGGAATGAGTTTTGAATGAGGTCAAGGAATTCTTCTCTCCCAGTTTGTGTGGTAAAATTCACCCAGTCTATCGTCGCGTGATTAAAATCTGTTATGATGAGAGACTGATCTCTGGATGCTGTCTAAATGACTTTATGAAGATGTGTCACCCCCTCCGATATAGAGTTAGCCTTATAACATATACACCTAATATCAACTTACTACTGTTTTGTGCTATCGGTTCACACCAGATTCGTATGATCCCATATCATTTAGCTAGTCATTACTGGTTACTATCAGGTGTTCCTTGACATACAATAGCCCTGTCCTTTCTGAATGGTGGGTGATGCCATGGTAAATAAAATTTACCCTAGGATACATTTTCTCGACCCCCATGACTCGCTGATCCCAATGATTTCTGTCGTTATGTGTCCACATATCTATTCAATAATTCGGTCTTATTAACTAGACTTCTGGCATTCATGTATCAACACTTGTTTGGCCCGATTTCTAATACTGCCCTCTTGGAAGGTTGTGAGTCTTGAGGGTTAATAAAATCACTCTCATGTTTATCTTGAGGTTTTGTTCCCTCTGGGTTAATAGTATCACTTATAGCTATAACATGCACTATTATATTTACAGGAAGATCGCCTCCGGTAACTAAGCGATGATATAAACAACTATATTTCTGTGTTTTGTATTAAGCATGACATAAAAACCAATATTTATTCCAAATGTTAATAATTTACTGACCATTCCTCCTCTTTGGTAAGGTATTTTGTTTTGTTTCTTAAGAAAGACAAAAAAAATAGAACTTGTCTAAATGTTACAAAATACTGTTAATACGCCACAAATTTATTTGAAAGGCTGAATTACAGACACCCTTAAACTGATAACTTATAAATCCCATCTGGCTAGCGACATCCGGCAGCTGTGGCGACGCCGACATACCTTCCTGTGGCAAAAGTTTTATCATTCCTAATTAAGGAGGAGGATCAGAGCCGATCAACTATAGTTTAAATAGTTTCTAAACCCGTGTCGACAGAGTCTGAACCCCTCTGGTATTAAATTATCGAACGTCTTTTTTTCTAACTCGAGATTTTTTATTGCTTAAATTACATTGATCTTTGTGGATATTTTGATTACCACTTCAATCTCTTTGTGTTAAACTCTTTAAATTTTAGATGTTTTTACAACAATAAATGCGGTATCATTCATGTATAAATTTTGACAGCAGAATAAGATCACCTTAACTTAACTAATTTTAGCAACACTACAGTATAAGTAGACCATATTCCCGAGCTAATTTTGCCAGTACAATATATAAACACGGCATAATCTGTGTGAGTGTACCCCGGATCGGTAATATACCCCGGGTGGGGGGCGCAACTGTTTCACTATATACGGAAGTGTAAAAGTGGTACTGGTGTGTCACGAGGAACCCCTTCACCCCCCCCCCCTCTTCTCGGTGTGGCTGACACTCGCATTAAACACATGTGGTCGCGGGGGTTTGACAAATAGATCTAAAGATCGACCACGTCATAATCTCTTTAGTATTCTTCATAACAGGATTAGCATAGTATATTTCTCTTGAATAGACAGGATACTAAGTCCACTTCGTTATAGTCGACATAAACATAAGTGAGATATGCTTAATTTTTTTTCGACAATAACTTTTGTCTAGTATAATTACTTTACTAAATTTGAAAGCGGAACAACTGAAGCCAATTCACCTAACGTAATAATGAACAACAGA